CTCTCTCTCTCTCTCTCTCTCTCTCTCTCTCTCTCTCTCTCTCTCTCTCTCAGACACACACACACACACACACACACACACACACACACACACACACACACACAAGCTCACACACTGAGCTATAAAGTGGCAATTCCACTCACGCCACTCCTATTTTTGCCAGCTGTTCTTCTGTTAGGTCAGGAAGGACTGAACCGGATATTGCTTCAGCTGAAATGTACCAAAGTGAAAGTTACCGAATTGTTTAGTAAACTTTAAACATATGGCAAACAAACTTTGCAGTCTGAATATCAAATATTTATAATGCACAAAGTCATCTAAATGATGTTAGCACGCGATCTTTTATGACTGGGAAACAAAGTCTTTTACAGTTGTCTAGATATTAAATGAACCAAGTCAACTTAAAATGTGAACACGTGACATTGTATAATTGTACGTTAAAGCAATAATAACTCTTCCTTTCATATTCAAAATTCCGCAAGAAATACATTGTAAACAACGCATGGAAATATATTCTATTGTATTTTACCACTAAAACGGCTGTTATTGTAGTAAATCTAAAACCTGTGCTTGTCAATAGGGTTTTTCAATGCCTTTCTTCCCAGTCGTCAAGGCATCCGTTGCTAATGACGTAAGGGTGTCACGCGGATTCTAGCTCGCGTTCATTCGAAATCAAAATGACTTCTGGCATGAAACGCGTTGATGCAGACGCTGACATAAGTTGTGAGTTTTTGTACAGTGCGTCGGATAACGAAAAGCCCAGAATGGCACACATTGTGGATATAAATGCATTTTTAACAAAAAGACAAATATATCTCATGAATCTTATATTATTGTTATAAAGTGTTGTTGTTGTCTGATTTTCCTGCGGTTTTAAGTAGGTCACCAGTGACTATGCAATGTCAGAGAGGGCTCCGTCAGTTAAAATCTCTTAAGAGATTTTAACAAAAAACCGTACATTTAGGAAAAAAACCCTGGATTAACTTTGAATGCAGGAATGGGGTCGTTGACCATTGGTAAGTACAGGAAAATTGCCGTTTCTTCCAGGAAAATCCAATTTTTGGCCAAAACGAAGAGTTATTATGACTTTAAACTTTTTCTGAGAAATTTTCATCTCTTCCTGTTTACTGCATTTTTAAAATTTCTTTTTGGTTTTTTTTTTTTGTGAGTTTCTATTTATTTCAATACTGGAAGTGAAACTAAATTAAATTGCTTAATCTTGTAGACAGGGTTGGCAGTTTCCTTTCCAGACTTGTTATAGAATTCAGAGTGTTGGCCTTTAAGGTGGAAACTGGGGAAACATATTTTTTTATAGTCTAGTTATGAAATTTTCACAATGAACAAAGCCATCTCCAAACATGTGTCCCTTTAAAATTGTAACCATCAAGTTTTTCCGAGAATTGTTCAACTCTTAAATGATATGTTTAGTATATTTTTTATTTAGTAATTACTTCTTTTTTTTTTTGGTGAGTTTCCACTCATTTCCATGCTGAAAGTGAAACTAAATTGTGTTGCTTAATCTAGAAGGCAGGGCTGGCAATTTCCTTTCCAGACTTGTAATCATATTCACTATTGATAACAAATTCAAAATAAGGCGAGTTTCCACTTATTTCCATGCTGAAAGTGAAACTAAATTGTGTTGTTTAATTTTGAAGGCATGATAAGCAATTTCCTTTCCAGACAGATATCAAATTCACATCTGCTTTTAAACCATTTTATGTGTTTATCCTGATAATTATAAGTGGGATAATAAGTCTTGATATATATTACATGTATGTATAACACAAGTAGTTTAGAGGGCCTGCAAAATGTACTGAAACATTTTAGTGCTCAATAAATTATTATTATTATTATTATTCAACTCTTATCTGTTCAACTTGTATTATGATTGTTAACTCTGGAAGGCAATATTGACAATTTCCTTTTCAGACTTGTTATCTTATCAAGGCTTTTCCCAGACATCATTTGGATGGCCGCAGGCATCACCAGTGGCATGCATTTTCAAAGATGGCTGCAGGGCTTACAAATTTTTTGAAAAATGACGACTTGGCTTGTCGGATTAGCAGTTGATGTCCCACTAAATTTTTATAAAGTAATATATGACATGCCCAGGTTGTACTATGCGTCCCAGTTGAATAATACTACTTTGTTTTAATCACAACCCAAAGCTTATAAAACACAATAAAACATTTCAATTAACTTTTAAAAATAATACACCCCGAAAACAGAAGTGTCAAGAGTGGCCCACCTTCAGTATAAAACATCTATAGACATTAAACAAAGTTGGAGCAAACTTAATGCCAAATTATGGGAGGGGAAACCCTCTTGACCTGACAGCCCTGATAGATGGGAAGACAATTTTCATATCTTCAGCAAGAGATCGTTCATGATCCAAGCAAGATGAAAAGGCAATTTTCATATTCAATCACGGGACTTCATTTGCAGAAGAGCATCAGTTGGGATTCTTCGCCGTCCGAGCGAGATAAGAAGCCAATTTTTATATCTTTAGCGAGAGATTATTCACAATCCAAGCAAGAAAAAATCCAGGGTGTATTTTTTAAAGCCCCCTTTACACTGGACGGCGTCCTTTCTGCGTCCAGCAGTCCTGTACCATTTGAGAGTTAAAAAATTATAATATTATACGTGTCGACAACTGGCCGATCATTGAGCATTCATTCTGATACAAAATTAATGCTCGTGCCTCCTTTTTAAGACCACAGCGATGCCAAATTTCATGGTCACAGAAAGGACGCAGAAAGGACGCCGTCCAGTGTAAAGGGGGTATAAGTAATTAAAAGAGATAACAATTCTTCACATGACATTCATATTTCACAAAATATACACTGTAAACAACTCACAGAAATGTAAAAAATTCTCTTTTATCTCCAAAACAGTGGTTATCTCAATTATTCTGGAATCTGTGCTTATCTACGGACCACACGACCTCTATACATGGCTACACATTATAATTATAATCTCTTAAGAGTTCAAAACAAAAAACTCAAACTTTTTTGTGAAAAAAACTGGTGCTAAATTTGAATGTCAGAATGGATTCATTAACCACTGGTAAGTATGGGAAAATTGACAAATTAACAATGCAGATTTAAGTTATCTTTTTTTACACGTGCCCCGTAAATGCTATTTTTTCATTCAAGTCTTACTGGTTTTTGCATTTTTTGCACTAGAGTTTTGCTTATTTATATTTATAGACATACCTTACTCATTCTGTAAGGCAATTACTTGCTTATAAATCTTTGCCCACTTGCATGTAATAGGTGAATCTCAACATGTCTAGTTTATAAATTCAGAACACTGTCCTGCCTAATTAAATAATTTTAATTTGTGAAATTCAACGTTATTTAAAACTTTACAGCATAGGGTGCAAGTTTCCTGTTTACTGCATTTTTCAAATTCCTTTTTGCTTTTTCATGAGTTCGTATTTTTTTCAATACCGAAAGTGAAACTAAATTGTGTTGCTTAACCTAGAAGGCAGGATTGATAATTTCCTTACTTGTTATCAAATTCACTATCAATTAAAAAACAAGGCAGCAAAGCTGTCAAATGTACAGACAAAAAACAGAAAATAAAGATGCAAAATAGGTCATTTTGTCAATTTTGATGCAATAATAAATAATGCTTATAATAGCACTGTAAGTCAACACTGAAATTTAATCATGCACAACAGGTACCATGGTCAATAACAGGAGCGAACCCAGAGATATTTTCTGACAGTATTCCAAAGTATCTATGTTGATCCATCCTCCATTTTTATGGTCTTCCAACAGAAAAAAATAGATACCAGTCAATATAAACTTAATAACCTGACCGTCTTCCGGACGACCCAGAAGATGGTCTCAATCCACCCCTTCAGTAAGATTATAGTTTCAGGACCATGAGAGTTCAAATTCTCATGATGAAAGTCTCAATATTTGAAAAATGATGACAGTGCATNCCCCTTAAAATAAAATGAAATCTATGTGCTTGAAACTGTGCTATAAATTTATGGCTGGATTGCTGGGAGGGGGTATGGAAGAGCCAATTAATCAGTTTTCCCAAAACATACATATGTAATGGGCATCTCAACTGGCAGTAAAATTAATTGGCTTTTAACCAGTGAGGCACATGTAAAGGTGTGAGAGAAAGGAAAATATTCAAGAATTTTGCACTTAAGTGGAGAAATAACTCTCATCCTAACTTAATCAAAATCTTTATGGCTCTAACACAAATAAATAAATAAATAAATAAATAAATAAATAAGATTTGGCTACTAGTAATTGTTACTATAAAGTAACGTTTGTTCAAAAATTACAAACTGATACTATTTAGTTGTGACTAGAAAATCTGATGTTACTTAAAAAGTGTCTGCCGAAATAAATCGTTCTTATGATAATGTCATCACAACTTATTGAAAAACACCGGTTGAAAAATGAGGCTTCAGACTTGACAGACTTGTGTCACTAGCACTTGTCAAGGTACTAGTATATTAAATTTTAAGTGTGGTAATTACCTTTGAACAACGGTATAACTGCATCCAACTCATTCTGCGTGAGGAAATCACACACTTCTTCAACTCCCCACTTTTTGAAAGACATCGACATAGCTTTTGGCTTCTTTTCCCAAGCTTCTTCGCTGTCAGCGAAAGGTTCACTCTTTCGCTTGAGAGCTGCCATGCCACCGGAAGGAGTCGCTAACTTGAGCACGGCTAAAAAGGAGGGAAGATAGCTTTACAAAGACGCTATTCAAGTTCGTTTGTTAAAACGTCAAAACCGTGATAACAATCAGAGAAGCTTAATTTACTCATTCAATATGACGGATGCTTCAAAATCGTCTAATAACAATTTGAATAGGCCAACCAGATAAAAACTGAAAGCTACACTGATTGTACGCAGACGAGTCCATTCAAAATCTCGCGAGACCATTATTATTGGAGATCACACATGGCGGACACTTTGAAAAGGAATCCAAAGCGAAAGAGATATTTTTAATTTTCTGTGTTATTATTTTAACTATTTGCAGTTAAATCAAAAGATTCCAATAACACTTAGTGATACAGAAGAGGGAGAATTATCCTAACTTGCAACAACGGTTCAGGGGTTTTGTTTTATCATGGATCAAGTGTCTGATCTCGAAGACGCACTTCCCGATTCTCACACTATGCAGCTGGCCGTTCATGTTGATGTTTGTCAAAATTCGAGCAGGTAAAGAAATGATGTAATGGTCCTGGATGGAAAACAAAAATGTACATTTCAGGGAAGTCCAATAATTCATACCACTATATTCTGTTACTAAAGTTAAAATGTTGCACAGTTTTGGCACACATTGTACAGTGTTGTAGAGTTTTTGTTTTACATTTAACAGTAGCATAAATTAACAGTAACATACAGTTATTTACAAAGACAAGTACACATATCTTTACGAGAGCTAGCACAAAAACTTTCATGCTAAGTGCGCTAGATGGCAGAGAAGGGGCGGATCCAGAGCTATTTTCTGACCGTCTTCCAAATTATCTTTGTTGATCCATCCTCTATTTTTGACCATCTTCCAACAGAAAAAAATGAGATACTCATCAATGTAAACTTGAAAATCTGACCATCATCCAGAAGACGGCCTCAATCCGCCCCTGCCAGAGTGTGTTGGATGTAGATAACTAGCAGAATGCCCTGGCTCTGAGTTGGCCAATGGGTCCAGCCTGCATCATTTCTTTCCCTCTTTTCTCAACTGAACTTAACACCAAAAAGCCAACAGATTTACATCAATTTGCCGACATTTAAACTGTTATGGGCTGCCATCAACAAAATTTTTAGTGTCTGAAGTAATTTAAATCCTAATGCTGTGATGCTTTCATTTTCCTGCTTGAAAACAGTTTTAAAGTGCTGCTGGACAGAATTATGCTTCAAATGGAAGATGCCTTTGTTTAAAAATGGTACCCAGTAGATAAGTGCTTTTTAATGGCTCCTAGTCAGTAGGCTGGTTTAAAAATGATCAGACAGGTTAAAACCAAGTGTAGTTGAGCCCTAATTGTTTCTATGGTTGTCATGAATTGACATTTTTTCATTTCAGTGCTGTATCTGGTGTGATAATAAAAGATCATGTGAAAAAATTACTCCAGCGACAAAGGGTTGCCTATCATGATTTAGTGTTTACAGAATTCGATGACCCATTCCTACAAGAACATGTCCACACTGTAGCAGTTTGTGATATCCATTCAATGCAGAAGGAAAGAGAGGCAAGTACTGACCCATGCTCTTCCATTATATAGCTCTATTTATTCTCTCTCTTTTTTTTAGAATATTCCTCCATAATCAGAAAATAACCAAGTCTCAAACTAAACACTGTTTTAAGGGGGGCGGGTATTTGAAAGGAAGGTTATTTGAAGAGAGGGAGGTTTGTGAAGGGGAGTATTGACACCGCTACCCTTTCTTCAGTTTCTCAGTAAGAAAGATCTCAGAAAATTTCATAGCAAGCTAGTCTACCTTAAACAGCCACTCCACAGGATTTTCCTGCCAAAATGTATTTAAGAATTTTTTCCACATGTTTGAAAATCGTCCAGAGTAATGTTAATGTCCTGTAAAGCTTCTTATATTTCCCAATTTAGACTCTTAAAGACAATAAAACCCTTTAGACAAAAGTTAATCTGACTAACAGATCCACGGATCAAATATGACTGACCTACTTGAAAGCTAACAGCGCAATCCCTACGGGGAATCTATTCAGTGTCTATTAGGGGATTATGTAATAAGCTTTCAAGTGGGTTAGCCATATTTGATCCACAGATTTGTTAGTCTGCAGATCACCTTGTTCTGAATGCGACCTATGGCACAGACTGAGACACACAGACAGGCAGACAGGTACTGGATCAGAGAGGAAATAGGTCAGACAGAGGGAAACACTGGAATGTGCACAAATGGCAGTCTTTATATTTATGGACTTGGTACTGCTAAGTTTTCTTATAAGTAATATCTTCTTTTTTTCTCTCTTTGCCTCCTAGCCAATAGACCTGTATTCGGCTTTCTTCCTCATACATGTGTACCAGCTCAATGAAGACGGGCCTGCATCAGAAGAGTTGGATGAGGAAGATCTGGCAGCTGCCAGCCACTGGCTTTTACCAACCAGAGACTTTGATGGGTTATGGGATAGCTTGGTCTTTGATTCAGATATAAAAAATCAAGTAGGTGTTTAATATAGGATGGAATATATCTTGGTCCCTCTAGAGCTTCCAAAACTTTTTTTTTTTGTGAAAGACGACTATAATTTAATGAGATAATAACTATAGGGTTATATGGCTTAACATAATCTTCTAAGATTGAAAGACACTTTGTATCATAAAAATTATTGTCTCTCTGTTTTCATTTGATATTCATTTCATGTTGTGTATTATATTTCTAGCTGTTACAGTATGCTTCAACAACTCTCCTTTTCTCAGACAGAAAAGTAGACAGTAATATTATATCTTGGAACAGAGTGGTACTCTTACATGGTAAGCTGTGTTATAGGGCTCATTTGGCACTGAGATTTTCCCCTTGTAAAATTAATTATTGGCTTGTTCATTTTGTTATTTGGTATTAATCACATTATATTTGAAGAACTAAAACAAGTGAACAATGTCAGATTGGAAGTAAGATGAATATTTCTTTAAGTGGGATTAGTGTAACATATAATTTACAATTTTAGCAAAAGCCTATTGTAGTGTACTTAAAATCTCAACTTGAGCAGATTTAATTTGGAATTCTAAATGTTAGAGTAATTACTCATTACAATTAATGCTAACAGCGTGGATTTATTTTGCCCTTAATAATTTTATTAACAAAATCTCAAAATCTTGATTCCAATGCTTTGAAAAGTTGTTTAGCTTTCTTTTTGTGAGTGCCTGAAAATGACAAAACATGAAAATGTGAAATATTAAAAAAGACAAGATTTACTTGAAAGTGAATACAGTATTCATATTTCTGGCACAAATTTTTTCCAGTACATTCCTCTCCATTTTCATTCTAGGTCCACCTGGCACAGGGAAGACATCTTTATGTAAGGCATTGGCCCAGAAACTGGCAATTCGATTATCTGATAGGTACAGCTATGGTCAGCTTATAGAGATAAATAGCCATAGTCTATTTTCAAAGTGGTTCTCTGAGGTAAGTTATATCCACAAGGATATATGTAATTATTTCCATGATCAAAGTATTTTTCTTATTTTTAAAAAATTCTTCTTGTCAAACTTTGTCTCCACTTTGTTTTGTGGTGATTTTAGCTCAGCTGGTTTGAGATGCGTTGTAATTGTAGTATAGTTTTTATCATGCAGTGTGAAAGAACAGTGTTTGGCAGGAAAATGATATTGTAGAATGTGTGCATTTAGATTGTCTCACCCTGTATGCGATGTCATTGAAGAAATCAAGTCTGCCAAAGCCACAGTGGAGAGCAAACATTAATGATATTTATTTGGTTCTGATGTTAATTGCTTGAGGATGATGAAAAGGGTGTAATATTTTTTACAATTTATTATTTTCAGAGTGGTAAGTTGGTGATGAAGATGTTCCAGAAGATCCAGGAATTGATAGATGATCCTGAGGCATTGGTCTGTGTGCTCATAGACGAGGTGCGTAACAAGCATTCTTACTTCTTTTCTGTATCACAGATGAAATGTAGAGAGGAAAAGAACCATTTATGGTACATTTTGCAAACATGCAAGTCACACTTGAGTGGGATTCCACCACGTATGTGTATCTTTTCTTTTTTTTTTCAATGTTGAGTGTATCACATTCACCTAGCTAACTCGTGGTTATTCATTATTCTTCTGGAACACTGAATACATGAATACATTTTCTGTATCCTGTATTAAAATATTATTAACTTGAAAGATTTGCAGGAACATTTATCCATTTTTAGCACCCTTTTAATCCAGTTAATGAATAAAGATTTCTGTCAGTTGTGCTGTAATTTATTTGTTTAGAAATTCTTCTGTGGCATGCCTGATTAGTGCTGTTTAATCAGCTTATGTTGAATATGTTAATGCTTGTTCAAGTCTCAACTGATGTGACTGTAAAAATAGTAGTCTTCAGTGGACTTATTTATTCTGTGTATTAACAGTTCTTCTATCCCCCCCCCCCAAGAAAAAAAAAGAACTGAAATGAGAATTTTTCAATTCCTGTATCCAACTTATCACTAGTAAAATTACTCCCAGCTTCTAGATTAGATTTCCACTCCTTTCAAAAAAATAAAAGGTGTCCTGTTGTCACCCCACCCTATCCTCCACACTTAAGCAGCATCCTGTCTCTGCCAGTGTATTTTTCTTTGTGACCAGGTGGAAAGTCTGACTGCTGCCAGGAAAGCCTCCATGTCTGGAAATGAGCCTTCCGATGCCATACGGGTTGTCAATGCACTACTTACACAAATAGATCAAATAAAAAGGTGAGACCTAAGAACATGTTCACACCATACTTTGCACTTACAATTAAATACATGAGATCTCTTTGAGTAAATCGCGAAAATTCATTTCGGTTGAATGTGAAGATTATGATATTTTAAGTCTTTGTGAGTTGTAAACACTTTTTCTCTTGCAACCCTTTCCAGAAACTATATTGTGTACTAGCATTTTTTTTTTTACTGCTTTGTGTTTGTATATTTCACAGCTTGTTTTACTGGTAACTCTTCCAGGAATCCTAATGTGATCATCTTGACCACATCCAATGTGACAGGAGCCATTGACTTGGCCTTTGTTGACAGGGCTGACATAAAGCAGTACATAGGACCTCCGTCCCCAGCCGCTATCTATAACATCTACCAGTCTTGTCTCAACGAACTTATGAGGGTAGGCTTATCAAGGAACAGCTAGGTGTCCCAGGGCCTGTTTCAGACAAGAAATTTAGGCTGTAAATTAGGCCTAACTCTAAGACTCAAAGTTTAGTCTACTTTGATCTAGGATAAATCAGTTGTAGTCCCATAAATGAAATATTGTGCATGTTTAAAAAAAAATTAGTAAATTTGACTACTTTTGATTTATCTTGAACTGAAGCAGAACAAATTGAAGTTCTTTTGTGAAACAGGCTTGAGGGACATGTTACCAAAACAGTAGTATATGTGTATGTGTGTGTGTGTGTGTGTGTTTTTGAGCTTAACTTAGACTTCAAATTTGCAAATTTGATCCAAGAGCATTTTCCCAACAGGTTGCTCACAATAAATGAAGTTGACAATTTTTAATGAGCTTTTGTCATAAACTATAGTAAAAATAATTGTTTGGACAATCACAGTTTGCTAGATCCCAGATTTAATTACACAGAACTGATGTGAACAAAAATACAACACGGGAGAACATCATGAGCACTACTGTTGTGCCTATGTAACACACCTTAGAGAAAAAATATACTTTCCACAACTTAAATTGTGAGCAAGTCTAGATTAGATTTAGAAAAACATGTCATTGAGAAAGGAAAAGAAAAAAGTTAATGGCTTTAATTTTCATGAGTATTTTTCTCTCATGTTTCTTCCAGTCAGGTATCATAAGCCCTCCTCAACAGCTGATTGACATGAGAGCTCTGGAGGTGATGAGGTTTTCAGAAAACAATGCTACTAAGCTGAGTTTACGGCTGCGGCAAATTGCAATGTGAGTCTCTCTGTCTCTCTCTTTCTCTCTCATAGCATTGCTTTTTACTTGGAAAATAAATTATTGGTCTGCAATTTTTTCATTACTGCCAGTCCAAATGTCTAGTATTTGCAATTTTGTCTGTGCAGGCTTTTTTTTTTTTTTTTTTGCCACAGATTGTTTTATGTCATAGTCATTAATTTTTTTCAGAAAAAGTGAAGGATTGAGTGGCAGAACACTCAGGAAAATTCCATTTTTGTCTCACGCCATGTATTTACAGGTATATTATTCTGATAAGAAGAAACACATTTACAGCTATGGGTAACTTGATGGTGGGAGCTTTATCACATAAACCCTGATAGATGATAAATCACTGATGTAAAATATTTAATAAAAGAAGTTAGTGCACACCAGACCTAGATACTTAACAACAGCTAAGCCTCATATTTTTTAAGGACATTGACATTAATTTGGCTTATATTCCAGCGACCAGCAACTACTCTAGAAGAATACCTTGGGGCATTATCAAGGGCTGTAGACAGACAATTTGAAGAAAGACTAGACCTCTCAAAGGAATAAATTAAAAGCAAAACCTCAAAAGCATGGGTTAAGACATGTTCACTGCCAAATGAACATAGAACAGAAAATTGACCAACATATGTCACCAAATTGCTATTAAGCATAGTAAACTACGCTATGATATACGTAGTTGAATTTTCTGCATAAGATGACAGTAGTTTATGTACACTATTTCAATACAGCTCCCTGAGTATCAGAGTGTCCAAACAAATCAGTTTATAATTGCCATTTGTGAATGGCGGGGCAGGTCGTGTACATTGTAGAGGAGAGCTCTGAAATTCAGGGTGAAATCCAGGGATCTGTGATTTGAAATGTGACTCACGGGTTGTAAAAGAGACAGATAAAACAATTAACTTATTTAAATGTAAGTTTTTATGTGATATATGAACAATTGTTTATTGTGACATAAAGTTTATTTTATTGTTAAAATAGTCCTAATGTGTATTGGAGATGCCTGAAATAAGTACAGTTCTTAGGTCATCAAGTTGAAAATAAAATGAAATTGAAATTTTTATTCACTGAATTCTGCAACAAGATGGTTTTCTTTTTGCAAAGTCATATTTGAGTGTAATGGAAGTTTATTTAACACGGCGGTGGATATCAACGGTGCTAAGAATACGCCCAAACTGAATTCTGACAGAAGCAACTTGACGGGACGGAGTGACTCACATTTAAAACCTTGAGAATGTACGCCAGCAAGCTTTTCAAAATGAGCGCGTATTTGATCTTAACGAAGGCACGGGCAACATAAGCCAGGGTTTCAGGAGTGCGCTGAAACTAAGACTGAACGGACAGTCGTCTTTCAAATATCCTATATCGATCGCCATTTTCCTAGATTTATTCGTGATGGATAATTTAAAGTTTTATGCCCCTTTTGCATCGCTATTCCGCAATGAGGTTTTCTCTCATTTATGTTTGTTCCCTTCAAAATAAATATTATAGTGAGTGTGAAGATAGATTTTCACATGTTCGTTAAAGGGATAATAACTCTTCGTATGAGATCTATATTTCACAATAATAACATTGTGAATAACTCATAGAAATATAATATATTCTGTTTTACCACAAAACGGCAGTTATAGCTATTTTTTCTGATATCTGAGCTTGTCTTTAGACCACGTGACCTACATTGATGGCTATACTCTGTTAAAATCTCTTAAGAGATTTTAACAAAAAACCAAACTTTTTAGAAAAAAACCAGGGACTAACTTTGAATGTAAAAATGGATTCATTAACCATTGGTAAGTATGGGAAAATTGTTGTTTACTCCAGGAAAATTCATTTTTTGGCCGAAACAAAGAGTTATTTTCCCTTTAAGTACGTTATTTCTATTGGAGATATAACAGGGGTCACCCAGACCACCTGTGATGTGGACGAATATGAATAGAACGTATTTGGAAACGTAGTTATAGAAGGTGTAATTAAGTATAAGGTGTAATTATAGAAGGTGGCTGGAATACAGCGCCATGACAACGTCAGGATTTGTAAATGTACCTGGGGTTTCCCCGCCACTTAATCAGTACGTACGTACCATAATCCCCGCAGTCTTGGATAAAGAGTCAAGACGTGAAACCTTTATTTACCTTGACTGAAAATCAATATTTTCTTATCCGCGACGCAAGCGAACCGTGCGGGGTATAAAGGAACTTCGAGTTTGAATTTGGTGCAGTTAGGTGTTTCCTTAGCATTAAGGCAGGAAAAGCAGGCATAAAGACTGTTGCTGTGTTCAGATGCGAGAGGAGGTGTCGAACTGGGACGGTTAAGTTTAAAGTAGGCCTACAGCACGTGTCTCTGACTGTCCCAAGGGTAGGGCTAGTATATATATAAGGATTGGAGATAGGGCATCTAAAATGGAAGGCTGACATAATGTGTCTTTTAACGAGACCTCCACATAATCGGTCCAGGCTGACTGGGTGATCACGCGACTGCTGGTAACTATGTATATATAGGACCTGTCCTGACGTCTCAATCAGCCATTTTACGGGAGGAACCATTCCAAAGGTTAGTCGACTGTTTCATTTTAAAGATTAAAAGCTGTTTTGTTATAAAATTAGAGGAGAAATATGCACTGTAAAGGGATTATTTATGGTTCGAAGATTGACGCGGTAAAGATGGCGCAGGGCGATCAAAAATAAGCATGTCATTTTAGTCTGATAGGGGCAAGCCCGTGACAAGCAATGGGAACATATATTGTTTTAATCCATTTATACGGGGGCTCCCTTATCAGAGTTTCGTCTACGTCGCTCTCCTCAGCTGAGAGATTGATTATATTAGCACAAAAATCCATGCGTTAGCACTCCTATTGACGGTGCAGCACAGCCAGTACATATATTAGATCTGTCAAAAGGAGTGCTAACTTTGAATGTTGAAATAGATTTATTAACCATTGGTAAGCAGGGCCGTAGCCTCCGGGGGGGCAGGGGGGGCAGCTGCCCCCCCCTGGAATTTGGAATTTTCCACATCGTGATAGGGGGACACCCCCCCCTTGGGGGCTTCGCCCCCTCATGTCCGCTTACTGCCCCCCCTGGCATTTTGCTCAGGCTACGGCCCTGGTAAGTATGGGAAAATTGTCATTTACCCCAAGAAAATTCATTTTTTGGTCAAAAAGAACAGTTGCTATCCTTTTAAGTTCAAGCTGACCGTTAATCCCTTGACAAGAAGCCTTTGCAAAGCTCCGTTGCAAATGTGTGCGGTAGATGAAATAACCCTTAATTTATCACAAAAAACATTTTGCAAATATTTCTTACACTTTTACGTCCCCCTTCCTGTTTTTTTATTTTTATTTTAATATTTTTTTTTTATATTTCATGCCTGGCAATTTTAAAGACATTCAACAAGCGAATAACCATTGTTTGTGCCCACCGACCATCTAATTAGCAAATCTATTTAATGCTTAAATATTTATAAATGTAAAAAGGAGGAAGGATGTTAGTTATTTCATTCAGAAGCATCTGGTACACGGTCCTCCCGGATAAGCACTCGATCAGTATAAAGCCTATCCACTTTATGTTTTTCAGGTTTATATTTGCACAAGTGTCATCAGAATGACATCTCAAGCCACCACACTTCGGTCACTTGGTCGACTAGAAAACGGCATGTTTGTCTTGCACGAGTATGGTAACACAACCAACGTGTTCAGCGTGTGGATCAACACGAAGACTCACGTGCCAGATGACACATGGGAGCGCTCTCTGATTCTGCTTCAGAAGAATTTTCCAACGCTAAGACTGCGAGTAGTGCAACAGGATGGCAAAAGGCATTTCAAGTTCATGGACGATCCTCATGTTGACTTCGAAGCTCAAAATTTGAGCAAGCCTGACGACTGGAAGGATCTTTATGAAAACTTGCTGCAAGTAAGGTTTGATACTGTCAACGGGCCTCTGTGGAAGGCCAAGTTTTTGCGCCTGCCTCATTCAAAGGGCAAGAAGGAGGGGGTTGAGGACAGTGAGTTTGGGCATGCCAATATCCTTATGTTCGTTTTCAATCACTGTATTACAGATGGGAAGTCAAACATCATCATGCTCTCTCGTCTTGTCCATATTCTCAACGCTGTTATAGGAGGGGAGGCAGTAGAAGAAAACGATATCACTACCCTAAAACCAACGACAGAGCATCTTATTCCAAAAGAAAATCTAAAGCTCCGTTTGAAGGATGCCAAAGAAATTGGGAGAGAAATCTACAACAATATATTCCCCAGTGAAAATTTATTTCTGAAAAAGTTCCCAGCACCTCAACTTCACGAAGAAGACACAGGGCGCACCAGGGTGGTTCCTTTGAAGTTGTCTGTGATTGAGACAGAGAACCTCTTGGCGAAGTGCAAAGAACACCGTTCAACTGTAAACGGCATCTTCGTATCGGCGGCCAGCATTGCAATGTCGCGATTGATAAACGAAGGATCCACGCCGCGTCCAATGAACTTCAATACGATGACCTCCGTTACCTTTCGCCGTTATATACCAGAGTATATGGGCAACGTCCTGGGATGTTTTATAGGTCCCCACCGCCTTCCGTTGTCAATTCCAGCTGACACAAGTGACCGGCTTTGGCCACAGGCTCAACAGATCACCAAGACCTTCCACGACGCTCTGGACCATGATCGCGTTCTGCAAGAGTATCGCGTGCTCAGCAGTTTAGCCTTCGAAAAGGGCATCAGAATGGCAATGGCGTCCAAGGTTTGCGATCACGATTTTGAAACGTCCAACAATGGCGACTACGACCTAGATTTTCCGGCGGAGGATAAGCACGTGAAGGTCACCAAGATCGTCAGTTCTACAGCCATGCAGGACCTCCACACGCCCTGCATTCATTACCTGCGGAAGTTTCGCGGTCAGTTTCTGTATAACCTTGACTATGCTACCAATTGGATGTCCGACAAAAATGCACACAGGTTAGCAAACTTGACCGTCCAACTGATGAAAGAAGCTTCTAGAAGAAATATGAGCACTTCTGCCGGTTTGGTGGCTGAACACTCTACGCGTGCATCACGTGCCAGTAGGAGCATGTCTTCTTCGTCTGTCCCTTATGTACGCGGGCTAATACGCATGGGTCAAATTCTGCGTTTCGCACGTTAAGTCAGTGTACGCAATTCTTTTTGAACTTTACAGACTGAGATGTTCATGTTTCCAAAATAAAGAGTTGTTACCTAATTTTATATATATGGAGTGAGAGACTTAGTGCAAATGTTAGATCACGTTTTCATAGAGAGCTAGTCATGTACTGGATTTGTATAAAATGATATGGTTTTTATCCCATTGATCTTTTATATGAGTGTACCACGTTTGAGCCACGTGGCTTATCTGAAGCCATAGCTTTGAAAGGTGGAAGTAAGTCCAAGTGTGATTTATATTTTTTAACAAAGTTATGATTATTAACCTCAAGTAACTTTCTTTATATAAACAACAAACAAATAGACTACCTAGACCTTTTGACAATGCCGATCATTTTGTGATTAAACTTCCCTCTGGTTATAGCATTTTTAAAAGCACATTGTACGTTAAAGGAACTGTAAGGTTTTATTATCATCTAAATACCGAAAATGAGTTTTTTTTTTACTGCATCTACATATGTAATAATGCATCAACCTTTGTGCCGATTTAAAATGATAACAATCCGCTTGGGATATATATAATATCAGCGCTTATTTTTCTTGTTGCTATGAAAAGCTTTTATCCTCACTTAAATACACCTTTCTATTTTGATGTGAGATAGCAATCGATTTTAGGCGTAACATCATCACTAAACAAGATTTTCTGGCGAAAATTGGCATAGTTGGCAACTAGTCTATGGGCTTTATTTTAGTGTCGTCATTTTTTTTTCAAACGTTTTTTGTTATACAGTAATGAGCCTCTAATTACAGATTTTCATTAAACAAAGACATTATTTTGCTTTGTCAATAATAAAATCTAATATAAAGCTAAAAAATCGCTGGCAGGGTTTTGAAGTACTAAATGGTGTCATTAAATTGGCATTTAAACGGTGTCCGTGGGTGCTCAGGTAAAGGAGAAATTTGAGAAACCGGTTTTCCATTTTTATCTCAAAATCGCAATTATGACGTCACCCGTAAGATAACGTGTGTAAATGTTAATTGTCAATGAAAAATGAAGATTTATCAAAAGAATGCATATAAGGCAGTAAATAAGGAGTTTTTTGACAAACGCTTATAGTATCCTTAATACCCACACTACAACGATTCCGTTTAACTTCTCTTATCTGACTATATCATACTTCCATGAGGACCTTAGCTGCTGTCCGACATGTATTATGAGTCGAGTGTAGTCACTTGCTTAAATTTAATTGTTTATCCTAATGAGAAACTGTTAAAATGACCAATTAAAGTGAATGCCTTTTTGGCAGTTTTACAGGGGGCAGCTATTTAAATGTTTTAATTAAATCATTGTTCAGATTTCTTTGTCCAAATGTGCAATTACAAAAAAATACACAAAGTATAGCAGTGGTATCATTTAGGGGAAGTTCACAAACATTTAAGGCGTACCATCCAACAATGGTGGTCACAGTATATAACAACATCGTCAACATGGCATAAATTTATAATTAACTTGTATTGTTTTTACATAAGATTTAATCAATGATTTTTTTGTAACTTAATTTCGTTTGATTTTTCATTCAACTTTAATACAAGAAACTTTCAAACGTTTCCATTGAAATTCTAGGATATCTATACAAAACCCGCTTCTGCAAGAGAATTTAGAATAAAGTTCAGCATTTTTTATTAAATAGCACAAGAGGTGCAAGAATTTCAGCTGGATGCTCAGTTAGGTCTGGAAGTTATGCTTATCGAACATCTCGACGGATGAACATTTATACATTAAATAATTTTTAAAAATTTAAGTCTCCCTCTCTCTTGCTCACTTGCTCCGACCCCTTACTCTCTCTCTCTCTCTCTCTCTCTCTCACTCTCTCTCTCTCTCATTTTTGATCAGGGCCAGACATCATGCCAGACCCCTATCACATAAATATGATAACAATGGCAAACATTGCCCCGCTTAAGTAGGCCTGTTCTCGACGTTATCAGTCTCACCTGTTTCACACTCACCGAGCCAATGATCCTGGAGTGTTTGCCGTGGTGACCTTGTTTCCGCAAAACGTCTAGGTGCCTGGGACCTAGACTGGACAACGATCTCTTTAAGGTGAGAACAATTTTAAAAGTTAGGTTAATTTTGACATGTAGAAGCAGTATCACGACCATTCAAGGTTTCGCATCAAGGCGGCTATTAGTCAAATAGTAATGCTTCGCGTCACTTATTGGGCCACGGAAATTAGTTTTACAGGTGAAAACTTAGGAAGGAGTTCATTTCTATTTGATTTACAAAAGTTGTTAATTGTTGTTCTGAAAAGACGAGAACTGGGGATGAGAGAATGGTATGTATTCATTGTCTGGGGGAGGGGATGGGAGGCAATTCGGATTTTGTTTTATGGATTCAGAAGTTTCTTCTTGTTAGTTTCATAGATCAGAGAAAGGTACGTCACAAGACAACCAAATTGGGTAGCAACCCCAACAGAACATAGAATTCTTAATGCCATTTCAATCAATATGGTCTCGAACTTGGCTAAAACCTACAACGCCAAGACACTATGTAGACTAATTCAGACCAAGAATTTGGAGGTGGAGGTGTATTAACGCCAAGTCTGATAGAAGCATGGAGTCAGAATTATAAAATTATTGAGGGCACTTTTGTATTCGAAGATTTTAAACTTTATCTATGCAAAATAACCACACTTATCTTTATCGCAAGCTCTTTTTTTTTGGCAATCACATGGCAAACAAAACTAACTTACCACATTTTACGCCTTAAGCTTACTAGTAGTAACAGAAGTAAGTGTCCCTTTCGATAAAATGAAGTGAATTCCGTCGGACATATATGCGAATCCATATCACACAAAGGAAGACTATATATATTCAAATGATATGATAGACTTCAAAAACATTTCCAGGCACCTGTACTATTGCACAACCTGTCAGCATGGCACCTCCAGCCGACACCATACTCCGTCCGCTTGGTCGTATAGAAAACGTTATGAATGTCATGCATGAGCACGGCAATACAACCAACGTGTTTAGCGTGTGGATCAACACAAAGACTCACGTGCCAGATGACACATGGGAGCGCTCATTGATTCTGCTTCAGAAGAATTTTCCAACGCTTAGACTACGAGTAGTGCAACAGGAGGGCAAAAGGCATTTCAAGTTCATGGAAGATCCTCACGTCGACTTCGAAGCTCAAAATTTGAGCAAACCTGACGACTGGAAGGGTCTGTATGAGAACTTGCTGCAAGTTAGGTTTGATACTGACAAAGGTCCTCTGTGGAAGGCCAGGTTTTTGCGTCTACCTCAAGTATCGGACAAGAACGAAGGCGGCGGGGACAGGGGGTTTGGCCATGCCAATATCCTAATGTTCGTTTTCCATCATTGTATTACAGATGGGAAGTCAAACATCATCATGTTGTCTCGCCTTGTCCATATTCTCAACGCTGTATTAAGTGGAGAGACAGTAGAGGAAAATGATATCACTACCCTGAAACCAACGATAGAGCACCTAATTCCAGAAGAAAATTTGAAGTTTCGTTTGAAGGATTACCTAGAGCTTGGAAAAACTATCTACCATAATATGTTTCCCCATAAGAACTTGTACTTGAAGAAATTTCCAGCCCCGCAACTTATCGAAGGCGACACGGGCCGCATGAAGGTTATTCCTTTGGAGCTGACAGAGCGTGAAACGGAGAACCTTTTGGTCAAATGTAAGGAACACGGTTCAACCGTCAACGGTATGTTTTTGTCTGCTGCCAACATTGCAATGTCACGTCTGATCAACGAAGGCGCCACCCCAAGTTCTATGACATTCCACTCTACGCATGCCGTTACCTTGCGCCGGTATGTTCCAACGGACTTGAGCAACACCCTGGGATGTTTTATAGGCCTTCACCAAGTCGTCATGACCACTCCAGCTGATACAAGTGACCATTTCTGGCCGCTTGCCGCGCAGGTCACCAAGAACATCCACGACGTTTTGGACGATGGCAGATATCTTCAAGAGTACCGTGTGATCCTAAAATTATTCTCTGACGAAAACGTCAAGAAGATTCTTACGACGAAGATGTGCGATAACGAGTACGAAGCATCCAACATCGGGGACTACGACTTGGTATTTCCAGCGGAGGATAAGCATGTGAAGGTCACCAAGATCGTCAGTTCTACGGCCATGCAGGACCTACACACGCCGTTCGTGCATTACTTGCGCAAGTTCCGTGGGCGGTTTCTGTATAACCTTGACTACGCCACTAACTGGACGTCCACCGAAAACGCGCACAAGTATGCTAATATGACCGTTCAGCTGATGAAGGAAGCTTCCAAAAGAAACATGTGCACGTCATCCTGTATGGAAACAAACCTCCCCGCTAGTTTGTTACAAAGACGTATCGGTATGTCTTCCAAGGCTACTCCCAGTGTGCGCGGGCTCATACGCTTCAGCAGAATCCTGTGTTACGCACGATGAGGAACTCTGCATAAATTGTGCTTCTCTTTAACAGACCAAGGTTTCGACGTTATTTGAGTATTCCCTGATATAACTAATCAACTGCTAGAAAATTTTAATTAGCATTCCCGTGATTGGAACAAGACTCAGAGGAAGGGGGGGGGGTAGGGGATACTACATGTGCTTTTTACTTATATATCGTACTAATAATTAAAAGAAAAAAACGGATAGTGCCATATCACACCTCACGTAGCTGTTGTTAATTGAAAGTGTAATTCGTAAAATACTTGATACAATAGTCAATATGAGCCGATTGCCAGGGACCATGAGTATTAAAAAGGCTGTAATCAATATTTTAAATGTTTTCATACATGGTATTAATTCAATCAGTCTTCCTTTGTCTGATTATATTCACACTTGGGAAGCTAAGATGTACAAGTAGCTTTAGGTAATATTTCACATCTAGCAGGTCAAACTTTGACGGCCTTTGTTCTAACAAATAAACCGTTGCGGCTTGATTACATGGAATAATTGGGAGTGCCCACCATGAGGGGGTGGACTTGTGTCTGAAGAAACCAATTAGTTTATAAGTTATGTGCTTGACAATTTGATTGATAAAGTTAAGCATAAAAATGTGTTAACTTATATCTCAAGGGGGAGACTAGGAGAGAGACTAGAGAGGTCCGGTTTGAGGCTTGGATATGACCATGCTTGTACAATGTAACTTTTCGTTTAGCAAAAAAATATATTCTGTTGAAGTTGCAACATGGATTTGTTTCATTCTTTTCCTTGTGCAGATCCTAAAACATAGAACCCGGGAATCACCGTAGCAGTTTTAAAGAATTTGTTATCCAAAGATGAGATCCCAATGTGCCCAACTTATGGGGTTTTATTTTTAAGGGTTATTAAAGGTATTGTGGGGGCGGGTGGTCATAAAAAGGTTTCCTCACAAGTAAAAAGGACCCTCACACGAGCGAGATCGCAGCCAGTAAACGTTAACCCTGTCTCCGCTTAAGATTTCATCTCTTTACATAAAAAAATAAAAAGGATTCTTATAAAGGTGTTTAATGCATGATGAGGCTTCAATGAAAGAGCGATTCCTACCCTTGCGCTCTTTCCTGGTTTATCCATGTAGTTCTACATGTTTTATTCAGTAAATAGTATATGATACAGACAACCCCCTTTCCTCACGCAAAGCAAAATTCGGACGATAATATTGGTGTTAACTTCAAAAACGAAACATTGGTATATTTTGATACACCAAACTTAAATCTTACAAAAATCATCCTTTTCATTCTTTACTTATATAAGTTGTACGTTAATTTTTTTTGAAATTTTTCTTCTAACTTTTTGCAAATAAACAATTTCCACCACAGTTTTTATGGGGTCCGGACGTTGTATTTGGTAACTTTATAGACTGATGCATACTTCAAAAGTACATAACACTTATTGAAAAAATAGTAAATTCTCCCCCTCCCCCTTTCTTTCTCTCATATTCGATGGGTGCCAGGCCTATCCCTTAAAATTGAGATTACAGTATCAGACAGACAGTGCATTGCCCCGGTTAAGAAGGCTACGACGTTGTCAACCTCATCAGTGTTTTTACACTCACTGAGTCAATAATCCTGGATGAACTGGGAGTCCGGGGTGACATTACCCCAGGCCAATAACTGGGTCCAAGGACATTATCTAGAACATTGCGAGACCCAGACTTCTCAGCGGCGTATAGAACCGTAAAGAACAGGTAAAATAATTAAAACAGTTAAAGTAACTTGTAAATGTATTATGTATGTAAAGCCTAAGGGTAAATCTGCCATGTTGAAGCAGCATCTAGACAATTCACGACTTAATAGTAGGATGGCTGCTTATCAAACATTGCTTCAAGGCACTTGTTGGGCCACGAAGAAATGGTTTTAGAAGAGTAATCGCAGGAACCGATTGGTTTGTATTTGCCTTTTTAAAAAAAACTTTAGATATTGAATGGCAGAACCAATTAAATCTTGGGAATACAGAGATTTTTTTTCCTTTTGGGGGGGAGTGGGAGGCAACTCGGGGTTTATGAATTCAAAAGCTTCTTCATAACATAAGAGAAATTCTTACCCGCACCGACGTCACGAAACTACCTTCTTATGTAGGGGGCCCATGGGAACACATGGCTATTAATGTTATATCAATCAAGATGGTCGTATGCATGCCTTAAAGCTGCGACACCAAGGTACCATCATCTACTTTAGATCAAGAATGTAAGGGGGGGGGGGCATTGATCAAGAGTTCACGGCGAGAAGAGGCGGGGTTCAGATATTTGATGGGGGGAGTTTTATTCGAGGATTTCGCGCTTTCATTTTCTAAAATATCTTCTATAGTTATCAGAAAGTCACTTATGTCGCCAGCAAATGGTGAACAACTTATACGTATGCATACCACATTTTTACACCAAGAACGACTAGCCATCAAACCTAGTATTGGTATTAGGAAGAAACTTTTCCATTCCATAAAATGAATTGAAATCTGTCGTACATATGCATTCGTGAAACGCATTTTATAGGGTAAATTATCAAAAACATTTTCAAAAACATTTTCAGGTACCTGTGCTAATCACTGACTAATACATCTTTCCACCAACCGCCAGCATGGCATCCCAAGCCACCATACTCCGTCCTCTTGGTCGAACAGAAAACGCAATGAATGTCATGCACGAGAACGGCAACATCACCAACGTATTTAGCGTGTGGATCAACACGAAAACTCATGTGCCAGATGCCACGTGGGAGCGCTCTCTGACTCTGCTTCAGAAGAATTTTCCAACGCTTAGACTACGAGTAGTGCAACAGGAGGGCAAAAGGCATTTCAAATTCATGGAAGAGCCTCACGTCGACTTTGAAGCTCAAAATTTGAGCAAACCTGACGACTGGAAGGATGTCCATGAAAACTTGCTTCAAGTAAGGTTTGATAGTGTCAACGGGCCTCTGTGGAAGGTCAAGTTTTTGCGCCTACCTCATTCAACGGGCAAGAACGAAGGTGGTGAGGACAGTGAGTTTGGGCATGCCAATATCCTCATGTTCGTTTTGCATCATTGTATTACAGATGGGAAGTCAAACATCATCATGCTCACTCGTCTCGTCCACATTCTGAATGCTGTAATAAGTGGAGATATAGTAGAGGAAAACGATATCACTACCCTGCATCCAACTATAGAGCACTTACTTCCAAAAGAAAGCATAAAGTTCCGTTTGAAAGACTATCTTCAGGTTGGAAAAATGATCTATCATAATATGTTTCCTCATGAGAATTTGTTCTTGAAGAAATTTCCAGCACCGCAACTAGCTGAAGGCGACATGGGCCGCATGAGGGTTATTCCTTTGGAGTTGTCAGTGCCTGAGACGGAGAACCTTTTGTTCAAGTGCAGAGAGCATGGTTCCACTGTGGAAGGCATGCTCTTATCAGCCGCCAACATTGCAATGTCTCGACTGATCAACGAAGGTGCCACCCCACGCTCTATGACCTTTCATTCAACGCACGCCGTTACCTTGCGCCGGTATGTCCCAACGGACATGAGCAACACCCTGGGGTGCTTTATTAGTGTCCACGAACTCGCCTTGACCACTCCAGCTGATACAAGTGACCAGTTCTGGCCGCTGGCTGTACGAGCCACCAAAGAAATCCACGACGTATTGGACAATGGCGGACTTCTTCAAGAGTACCGTGCGATGCTAAGATTATTCTCTGACAAAAACGTCAAGAAGATAATGGCAAACAAAGTAGCTGAAAACGAGTATGAAACATCCAACATCGGGGACTACGACCTGGTATTTCCAGCGGAGGATAAGCATGTGAAGGTCACCAAAGTCGTCAGTTCTACGGCCATGCAGGACCTACACACGCCATTCGTGCATTACTTGCGCAAATTCCGTGGGCGGTTTCTGTATAACCTTGACTACGCCACCAACTGGACGTCCACCGAAAACGCGCACAAGTATGCTAATATGACCGTTCAGCTGATGAAGGAAGCTTCCAGAAGAAATATGTGCACTTTATCTTCTTTGGCCGCAAACCTCCCTGCCAGTTCGTTTCATAGACGCATCGGTATGCCTTCTACGCCTAGGGTATGCGGGTTCATACGCTTCAGCAGAATTTTGCGTTACGCACGATGATGAACTCTCCAGAAATTGTCTTTGGCAAAATTAAATTTCCACGATATATACCTTCCCCAATATAGACATGTTAAATACTAGAAATGCAGCCTCCGTGGACTGGAGTAAAACTATGTAACTTTTATTTAGGCTTTATACTTGCACTTTTGTTGGATTCTAAAATGCAGGAAATCAGTGAAACTTTTTTCAGTTCTCAGTATCTGTAGTTCATTGAAATTGCAAGTAGATTAAATACTAATAATAATAATAATAATAATAATAATAATAATAATAATAATTTATTAAGCCAATAAAATACAAATGTATAAAATCGGGAATCTTTTGCCCTGTAGTAGCGCCATTGAAATATAAAAAATGAAAATTAAAATTACATGTTAGAGTTAAAAATAGTTACTGCCGAAGGATAAAAGCTATTTAAAAATCGCTTNATACTTGCTATGGTATGAACCGACTAATTGGCCTACCGCAAGTGGGCCTTCAATTAACTGAGTTTTCCATTTGTATTTCCATCTGTACACACTTAAATAAAACAATAATTTCAGTGCCTTTAACGCGTTGTCATGTTACACGTCAGCAAGATTTCCAACTTCCACGCTCTCTCTCTCTCTCTCCTGTTTTAGGACTACATGTTATGCAAAGTTTTTTTCACGGATATCCGTCCGTCCAGGTCTTTAAATTAGGTCTATTTACGACCACAAATTTGAAGGAAGTGAAGTTTTAATGCTTTTTTTTTAAGGATGAGGGTTTGTTTAGTTTGGTTTATGCCTTGGCATATCGACTTTGTTTGAAACTAATAGAAATGGTTTATATGAATTATAGTCAATCCACGTTCTATTCATTCGTAACTTTCTGTCATCCACAAAAATGGCCAGACAGGTATTTTAAGAATACGGTTCTCAACCCCCACCGTCCTCAAAATGACCAAATGGGAAAATAAACAGATATTATGGCACTGCATTACCATGCATTGAAAGTCAAGGGAAAATGTTAAACTGAGAAGGCGTCTGTGTCACCATTTAGTTAAAACAAATAGACCAGTTCAGTGAATCAAAGGAATCGGGAATCAAAGTTTTCACCTTTATACTGATGGTTTAAGTGTGTTAAAAGTCAGTCTTTACTATCGTCTAAAAAGGGTCCTTTCAAAAACAAAGCCATTGAACAAATATAAAGTAAAACGCACACGTTCTAGCACCCAAGGGCCAATGTCGTCAAAATACATGCAAAATTAACACAAACCCCCTTAAAATCAATAACATTCAAAAAATACTCCAACATGCCGATTTCTGAAAGGAACCTGCCTTACTAGCATACAAAGCCACTCTGCAAATTTGAAGTAAAACAATTATATGGTTTGGCACTTGCAAAAAAAAATCATTATCTTTCACATCAAAATAATCCCATTTTTAAAGAGGCCCATTTTTAAAGAAACAAATCTACTAAGAAAATTTAAAGAAAAACGAAAATACGGTTTGGCACCTCGAACTGTGACTGCAACATGATCAGACACAGTAATCACAATATAATTACACAGACAAAATAGTGTCTAAATATAAAAATAGTGACAAAAGACATTATTTCAATTTATCTCATAATGTCCCCTCTCAACCTCTGATGAAATTTAATATTGTGTAACAGACAAAAAAATCCTAAGATTCAGTTGTCAAAAAATGACAGTTGAATCAGTATTAACAAAATATTTTATTTTCTTATGTCATTAGCTTTTTTAGAACAATAAGTATGATTTGTTATGCAAACCTCTCAGTTATAGATTCAGGACTTTGGTACAAAAAAGGCTTATTGGAACCAGGCAAATATACAGCAGTGGAAGACTGTAATTAGAACTGGAGGTGATAAATCGGGCATAGGGATAGAAAAATGCTCCATTTTGTCTCATTTTGAAAGTTATATCGTTTAGTTTTGTAGGTGTTAAGGTGTACCTAAGAAGCTAATGGAAAGGCATGTACCACCCACCCCGCTGCTATATAACAAATAAAATCACTAAAAAACATACTAGTCACTGTAGGAAATTTCACTGTCCTTTCTGCCTCTGCCTATAAGATCTCTCTTTGAGAAATAAAACTTCATTCCTCTTCCATATGAAATAATGAGCCAGCATAGTATTGCAACACCCCCTATAATATATGTCCATATCACTGTCCTCTCATCTGGCAGATAACACTTTGAGATGGCATAGTTATTGTTGCTCACCTTCATCTGGAAGAAAATAAAAAATAATCAGATGTGAACATTGCTTTACATTTTACATATTAAGTAGAAGAATAAATATATATGTCTACAAGTGTACATACATCATGTCAGTGCATTATATCATCATACATTGAGTAATGTAATTGTTGCACATTTTTTAACTGGCTGCATCATTTCTTTTAGATTTAACTAATGAAAATCAAATGCTGACAAAGTCACATAAAAATGTGGTTGTCATCTTGACTTATTTAATAAAAGCCCCAAAGGGGGTGGGGGTTTGGGGAGGTGGTGGTGGTGGAGAGGGGGGGGGGGGCACTGGGGCCAATTGTCTTCCAACCTTATATTTGTACATGTACAGTACCCCCCTCCTCCCTATAAAAAGAATGACCAGTAAAAAGAGATAAAATCAAGCAATTTTCCAATCTTTTGCCCCAGTAAAAACGTCTTTATCTACAATCTAATAATAGTTGGGCAAAGTCACATTTTTATCCTTCTGCTCCCTCTCCATTCACAAAATACAACAGGATCTGCCATCTTTATCTTATAAAAAATGTGTTTTAGAAATAATTTAAGATTTTTTTTCTTTTCTGAGATGATACAAGTACTGTACAAGATAATCCCCCATTGCCAGTTTCCTTTGTAAACCTGAATTATTACTTGATTACTGATATACATACGAGTAAAAAGCTTGGATTTTTAATATTTCTCCACGAAAATGAAGGCAGTGTCCACTCAGGAGTATTGTGGGGCGGAAGCTCTCTATAGCAGAAGTGGTGAGTGTGAGCACTGAGAACAAGGCGAGGCTGGACACTCTCTAGGAGCTGAAGGTAGAAATACAAAACAGCATTGCATTAATACAGGCTACCAACACTGCTTTCCATATTCAGTTTAAGTTATGAAATATACATTACAGATATGGTAATTTCATAAGTGATTTATCTGAAAAACATTTTTATCCATAAAGGGTACATCTTTTAAATTCCAATCACTATTCTCTGACTTTGAATGTCTTAAAAGCAAATTAATTTTTCCTCCATTTTCTTTCCAATTCATGTAAATAAATGTCACATGTGTAACATATGAAAAATATGATATTCCAAGTGGAGGTTCTTAAGCACACAACTTATTTTCAAAACTAAAACATGTAACTGCTTACTCTGTTTGATGCCTTTTCTGACAAACAGTCCACCTTGGGTCTAAATTTTACATATTTTTCTTGAATTGGAGCAGAGTCTGGACCTGAGCAATTAGCATCGGATGTCCTGTACATAGGAAAGTGCTGTAATAATGAAACAGATATTGCCTATTACAGAGGTCCATCACCATGAAGAGAACACAGTCTAAGGAAGAACAGGATAATTAAAATAATTAATAATAACAAAAAAATTCAGCCCATCAGTTGGCTTTTTGTTGGATTCAAATTGATCTGAATGGAATATTTAGATAGAGGTCTTTTAAGTGTTGCCTCCTTTCTCTTGCACGCTCACACAAATTCTGAGACACACTGAGACACATTCTTATGCACATTGGCACATTATACCTGTAGCAGTATTGGTCTAGTATAGTATTTTGGGTCTTCCACTTCACAATGACCAGCGGTATATCTTCCCTGTCAAGAGAATGTCATAAAGAATTAAACAATAGAAAGTCTCTCATGCTTCTGTGGTCACTGTAATATAATTAATGACAGTTTTCAAATTGCATGAATATTACAGTGTTATTTAGAAAAGTCATGACAAATTATGCTGCTATATATTTCATGTTTCCCCTGTTACAGTATTCTTAAGGGGAAGCTAATTTGATCAAGTGCTTCTTTCTCAACTGTGTTACAGCCATGCCATAATATAATATAATATAATATAATATAATATAATATAATATAATATAATATAATATAATATAATATAATATAATATAATATAATATAATATAATATAATATAATATAATATAATATAATATAATATAATATGGCACCATTATTGTTCTCAGGTCTGTTTATATTATGTATTGTATTTTGGACCTTCACATCCACATAACTGTAATACAGAGACCTTAACTATTCTGCAAAATGTAGCTTCTCTAGCTTGTCTCAAACAAGGGTCTTGAATACCTTGTGGATTTCCAAGTGGAAATCGTTCAGCCCCAGGCTTGTTTAAAGAATAACTGTTTAAAGAATAACAATTAACTGGACTATACAAGAAACAAGCTAAATATACAAGAAAGAATCTTATGGTAGGGTATGGCAAACATTCTCATGATGGCAGTTCTTACCTGAGCACATTTTAATCTGACAGAAATTTCCTGTAGCTGCCGTTCAGCCCTTTGACATATATCACAGCCATCTCCTTCAAACGCCATACTGTTGGCTAACACAAATAGATTGCCCTGGATATCCATCATACGCACGGATGGGGTCTTGAAAGCTTTCTTGAAGCGGTTTATTTTATGACCAGTCATCCTTTNAGAGTTTCGTGACAACAAGCCTAACGGTTTTCCTTGAAATGTGTTTACAGGGTTGCATATATGCTGAAAAGTGAAAAAAACAGCATAACTTCTACAGTAATGGCCCGATCATGCTGATTTTCGAACTTGACCTGCGTTTTATGAATATTCATCAGCTCTGTAAATATAAAGCCAAAAAGTGAAACTGCCTTCCACTTATCGTGTTTACAAGGAAAGTGCACGGCGCCGGCGACGGCATCGGCATCGGCATCTCCATCGGCATCGCCATCGGCGACGGCGACGACAGACGCAGGTGATGGCAATATGTACAGACACATCTGTGTCTGTACATAAAAAACGGATCATGTGAAAATATGATACACGATGTCAAAAAGTATACTTTTGTGAGTAACTACATATGATAAAACTTGAGAAAGTAAAATATTGTAGTAAGTAAATTTGTTTGAAAATTCTTAGTAATTACTTATAATAACTGAGAAACTCACAATCGCCAATGGTTTTAAGAAGGAAATCTTTGTGTAAATTTTGAACTTACATTGATCTTTCCTCCTTCCCATTGGTCTTTATAAAAAATTGAACAGGCCAAGGATTGAAAGGTGGCTGCCTTTGTCAGAGTAAGCCAACCTATACATTCAATGGTAAACTTACATATAATGAAAACCCACATCATGATTCCCCACAACAACTTGAATTTGAGAGGATGCATCCACAGCAAACATATGATGAAATCTTGCTACAGTTTCTTGGAATTCTTGATCACTGCATATCTTCCCTTCATCAAAAAGATCACCTAAAACATAAAAAGCAGCAATCCATGCTTTATTATATATTTGATGTTTTAAACAAAAATGCAGATTTGTCGGCTGAAGGTAGTTTCAAATTTGAAATCTCTAGCAGAAATTGGAAGAAACTCTTTTGACATCCATTATTAAATTAAGGAAATGAGCAGAATGATACTCATGTGCGCAAATGCGGTTTTCTATCAATCAATATGAAGAAGAAATGGAGAACAAAAATCAGCCTTACAACCTTACGCTAATTACATAGTTTAAATTTTGATAATTGAATATTTTATGTTCTAAACATTTGCATAAGCTATGAAGTCCTTCTCATTGGAAAATTGTCCAACAGAATCCCAAATAAAACTCAGTGACATCACAACCCACTTCCAGTTTTCTTACAGATCATAAAGGTGAAAGCGTTACAGTTTTCCTCCAAATTTCAAGCATTTTACTTCAAAATCTACACAACAATTTGAATATAAATTCTGTACATAAATTCTTTAATATATGATATTGCACCTATCCACAATATTTGAGAAACTGAGCTACAGTAGTTTTTCTATAATTCATGTTCATATTTGAAAATAAGTGATTTTTTGTCGATTTCTTGAAGGGCGGGTCTATTTGAATTACCATAAGAATGAGAAATCTCACCTAGCACAAATACAACCTCGGGACTATGGATAGAAAATGTTGTCTGAAAGGACCTCTGCATTTGCCATTCTCTGTAATGAAAGAAATAGACAACTGATTACTAGTACAATGATTATTTACACTGAACATAATAACCACAATAAATAAATAAATAAATAAATAAATAAATAAATAAATAAATAAATAAATAAACTATCTATTGCTTAAAAACATCATTTTAAACACTTCCCTAATTCCTGAAGTGTGCAAAATTTTACAAGATATTTAATTCTCATAAATGTTGAAATCTTATATTATCCTTATATCAACACAGCAATGATGTGTAATCCCAAACAAATGTATAGGATGGCCATTTACCTTCTCAGTTTATCAAACCAGTGCCCATTAAAGGACCCCAACAGGTGAGTGTCTGCAATAACCATCACCTTCAGTGGTTTGCCTTGGCCAGGGTCAATCATAACGTCCAGGTGGTCAGTGGTCATCTCTGGCCAGGCGCACTGCAGTAATGTCACATAGTAGACTAGGTACTCATTGTATAGAAATAGCAGCAGTACCAGAAGAAGCAGCTTTGATAGCCGACCCCAGTACAGCTTCACCACCATTGGGTCCCCTTTGTAGTTTACTGTACAGCTAAGTCTTCTATGCTCTGACCAACCATTAGAAATTAACAGTCTGTGCAACCTCACTTTATCTGCTTTGTAACTTGCTAATGTGACCCACCTTCTATGGAGAAGTTAAAACCTTAGTTATTGTCAAGTCATCCAAAAAATTTCTCAACAGCTTCATGTGTAATGTAATTTAAGGCAGTTGCAAGATGCTGGGCCTATCAATATCACACACAATGGAATATTGTGTCTGTTTATAACCATCTCCTTGGAATTAGCATGCTTTTAACTTGTTCTTGATCCCGTACTTTGCCCTAAAAATTCAAAAGTCATAAAATCATTAATTAAGAAAGTAAATGATCATGTTACATTCACTCTTTCGTCATCTGTCCTATACAGTTGATAACACCTAATTAAATAAATGAATCAAGAAGTGTTTAAAATGTCCCTTGATTTGAGGAAGACTTTCTGTGAGTTGCTGGTATTTCTGAGTCCTTATGTGGCCAAATAGTCCACTTCTGGATTTGCAATGAAATAAACGAAGAACTGGATTAGCAATGAAATAAAAAATGAATAGTAAAATACTGTAACACTGAAGATAAACAGTTTAATGCAGGGTTGTTTTCACTTAACTTTTTATTTAAGGCAATGTTGGGAACCAATTACACGGGCATCGTGAACATACACCACCTTTGTGCATACCAAACCTACATGTAGGTTCCATCAAGGCATCATTGCATTCTGATAAACTCTCCCCTACTCTCTCTCCGGGTATCCNATCCCTCCCCCCCCCCAAACTAGACTCTTATCCACAAGATTCATCATAAGATTACTAACCCAATATATATATAGAATACACAATTTTACCAAGGGAGAGGGGGATATCGCAAGCGGGAAAAATGGCTACCCCAAACATAAATTAAGTAAAACCATAGAAGTAGAGAAAAATTCTATGGTAAAACGTTAGCCTGTGCCTCTCAACAAACAAGACGATGACCGACGGCGACAGTTAGCGTACAACTACAAGTAACTCAAGTAAACTGCAATTAAAAAATCATTTCAGCCACATAAGACTCTAGTAAATAAATCGAAATGCACCAGACCTAACATTAATACACCATAGCTGAGCATTAAACGAAAAAGAAATAAAGTAACTATTAAATTGCACCTTTTGAACTACAACATGTTTTCTGCACTTTCGATCACTTACCGGAAGTCGCATGGCGTACTGCCACAAGAGGACACAAGATAAGCCACGTCCACGAATGATTTTTATTACTCAAAAATGCTTTTGGCAAATTTGCGAATTTTTCTTTTTCCCTGTCAACCCTTTTCAGCCCCTGAAGGAGATATCATACATAAAATGAATACGATGAAAACTGCAAAATATTCCATCTTATAAACGTTTAATCTATAATTACAGTGTGAATTACAGTTTTTAAAAAGTCATTTTCTGTCGAACAGACTGAAAGTTGTAGAACTGTATGAACATT